TTGCTGATTCAATATGTTATTCATCATAACACAGAATTTGTGAACCATCGATTGCGGCCGATATCGTCGAAAATTCTTCGAGGAGCTCTCGTTTATCATCCAATACTTGGAACTGTTCTTGTTACCTCATTCATCAGTTTCTGATCTCTGTTATGACTTCAGTTAAGAATACGCGAATGCAGCTAATTAATTATTCAGCAGCGTTCACGTGATAATGAGATTCGTGACTATTATACTACCTTACGGTTCGTTCTGCTCAATTGCACTAACGTCTTCTTAATACTGAGATTCCTGTTCCACACTGCTTACAAATTGTTCTATGTTCTATTCAGTGGTGCGGTTGTTTTGTTCCGTTCTGATGTCCATTTTATTCTGTTTAACCCCTTGGAATGGAACAAGAACAGAATACTACGGGTGGAGTAGAAGCATCACTTTTGCTCAGTACTAAATCTCGTTCACCGTCGAGAAATTTGAAGGTCCCTAATGGCTTGTTTGCTTATAGTGCGCGTGTTCGCTTGAATTTCATCATGAATTCAGCTCCGCCTTCAAACTACTGTCTTATTATAAATTCTCGTTTATGCATATCGACGAATGATCACGCTTAGCTAATCTGCTTGCATTCCTCCTAGCGGTGATCACCACTCTGGTCTCACAGAGTGCTTCATCGAATCAGCTGGGAGGAAATAAATACGAATGTTCATTTTGCTTTCATCTGCTTTTATAGTAAATTCATATGATCTTTCATTTTACAATTTATTAGTGATGGCTTTATCCTCAATTTCTAAGCGGGAACTTATGCTGTGATGAGCCTCAATTTCAGTGTTATACTTGCTGATATTGTAAGCCAATTGACTGCATCGCTGTGATTTTGTCACCGGAGCCATTGCTCGTTCTAGTTCAGTGGCACATTTTGACATGATCGTGCTCTTGATCACTCACATCCTTTGTTCCCAAACGCTGTGCGCTTTTAAGCGTTAACCGTCGTAGAATCGACCAAATTGCTGCACTTCAACTTTCATTTGCAATCTGTAAATCCAAATTTTGATGAGATTCTGTCATAAACAACTACTTCAAAGACTCACTCTGGCTTGTTCGTCTGCACTACTTTCTCTCTTGAATCCTTCAGGAGGACAACCGCAATGTTGATTGCGTGTATAACCAAAGGAAATTGCAAAAGCCTAAGAAAGGGCAAAAAACATCAGTCAGAATAAATGAATAATTTTGCGTCCAGCTAAACGAGTAGATCACTTTTTCCTGCTATTCCACACAAACACTGAATTTGTGGCTGATAGTGAGATGGATTCAGCATTGAGTACATAGCTATGCAACTTTTTTTTTCACCGAAACGTTCTGCACTATTTGAGAAACATGTGTATATGTGCTCATAGCGAATCCTCCTGAAGGTACTCTACTCACAGCGAAGAACACTCTACTCATAGTAAATCTTACTGAAGGCAATTTTTCATCAGATGTGATACTGTTATACATAATTCTCCTGCGTCGAACGATCAGTAGAGCAAATTTTGAGTTATTCAATCATCAAATATGGTTGATAAGTGTTCCATTCATATTGTCCGATGTTATTAATTGCGGCATTTTCTTACAGCATATTGATTAATCTGTGTACATGTTCGCCTTCTTGCAAACATTCACGCATGATCCCTTCTTTTCAGAAGGATGGTCGTCTGCACGCCATATTTTTGCAAGGCTTGGAGAAAACAGAAGTTGTTTTCAATCGCTTTGCTCGAAGATGGCTTAGGCGAGACCTATCATATAAGCATCAGAAATTGTCCATGCGTTATGAGAGGCACGAATTGTTTTGTTCAGTTATTTCGGTCGTTTTTTCATCTTCATTTCACGGCAGTTTTGCTAAATAGATATTAAGTTAAATAAATTAAATAGATATTAAGCTGGAGCTGAAAGCACTCTATAAGTTTCTTTTATATGCTTCGCTTGCGCACGTGATTTTTCAATGAAACTACTCAGGGATTGGTACGATTCATTCGCTAATTGCAATACTCATCAATTGCCTCAGGAATATTGATGCGCTTTTAGATATTTCACAAAATTTTTTCCTGCGTCCCAACTGCTTCCGTGCTTGTATGTGTGTGTGTTAATCGCTTGTGAACTGTGAAAAAATCGCTCAAATTTTACCATATTCCAATATATTTAGTGGTGACATCCTTTGGATTCTTTAAGCCCGCAATCCCACTTGGATGAAAATTTAGGTCGTTCGTTTCTTCTTGAATAGCGTTTTGTTCACTTACGACCGCAGTGCACTCTGGCTGAGGATAAAACAAATAAAAAGATGAAATATTAAACAACAAATAATGAGTGCGCCTTTTCCTCATACCTTATTGAGTTGTCTCAAGCTTACATCTAATTTCTTTGCTATCATAATCTGTTAAATATCAAAGTTATAGTGGGAGCAAGAAGAGTACGCGTGTTGATCCATAAAATTATTACAAACTGCATCCTCGCCTTGATGACAATATAAGGTTAAAGCTACAGTATACACCGCAGTTCTGAGTGAAACCTTGAAATTGCTTGCTTCTGTCGTCGTCATTCTCGTTGATACTTCCAAGTTTTATGATTTGCCCTCAATTTTTCGAAACGCAATTTCCAGTGATGCATCTCTTCCGTCACAACGATTCCTATACGCATTCGTGCCGAATCAGTCAGACTTCATTCGCTAACAATTATCGTATTCTGTTGGTTGGAGTACTTGGAACTACACTAGCAGTGGTGAGTCCTATCAGACTTCTTTGATACATTACAATGCACTTCCCTGTTTCGATTCAGTTGTTTCAGTGAAGAACGATTGCACCGGACATACTGAAAGATACTGCCTCCAATAACTTTAAAACAGCTGGAATTGATGAGTTTCATGAATTTTTGCTTTAATTTATTGATGATTCATGCGGAGATTGCAAACCGTCGATTGATTTTGCATGCGAAAATGTTCGCTGTCCGCAGTTCAACGCTGCTTTTTTTTGTGCTGGATGTTGCTTGCTATTTTGATGAATGAGTTCAATGATCAGAAGGCAAGTTATGAGTCCAAGATGTAGCGTCCGAGTAAGTTCCTTGTTCTTAGGTGGTAGTTAGGAGCGTCTTCACTATAAATTCAAATTCGGTTATGAATCGCTTTTAGTTTCTATTAAGTAACTGCATACAAATGAGGCAGCACATCCTCATTAGAGAATGCATCGTTTCAGTGATGCGTTAAGACACTTAATTGCATTCCTTTCTCTCGGATGAATAACGAAATCCATTAAAGAACGCAAGACATGTGCGATTGCGTGCCATTACCACGAAAATGCTCCACAACATTTCATGATGAGAACGTTCCATTAGTATCTGACACACATAGATCGTGAATATTTTTTGGTTTCTACAGAGGTTACCAACCGAAATGCTCTGTCTCGATCGCTTTTTGCAGAGAGAGAGCTGAGGATGTCACGTTTAAGCAACAGACCGAAGAAAAATTGCTCGTTATGCAAGCTGTAATCTATTGGCTGAGTGATCTTCGCTAGGATCTATCAAAATGTGATGGTTTCATCGATGATTGGGATGATTACAGATGAGTATATTGCAAAACGGTGTCATCTTTTACGTGTTCTCAACGTCTCGAAAACTGCGTCGTCAGAACTACGTGAATCCTGTGCTGTTGGCCATGTTCGATATCGTCGTTTCAGTTTGCTACATAGCGTTGATGTCCGTGCATGTGCTGGCGCTGGCTTATGAAATCGTGTGGTTGATGTTCATTTGGCATGAATACGTTCGAGTTGTTTATTGCCTGCAGGTAGATGAGTCAGTTTCACCGAAATTATCCAGTCGCGCTCCCTTAGCGGTCAATCCGATTGTCATTTGTTTGTATCGAAGCGATCATTACAGATTTTTTACTGGCCGTAACTGAGAATTTCAAACGAGCAGTTGCATTTACTCGAACTGATTGCAGCGGTTAACTGATTGAGCTTATTGCAAAACTGCTATGTGATGCACGTTCGAGTACATGATGACTTTCAACCAAAATTACAGAAAATGTGATAATACCGCCGTAGTTTCACTGACTATGAACAATATTCATACTAGGTTTGTTGATCTGCCGAAAGTGAACTAACTAGCAAAGCTGATGACATTGTTAGCTGATGGCATTGATGCAGAACTGTAATGATGTGCATAATTTTAGCATGTTGCAATGACAATATCGAATTTTTTGTTGGTTATCGCGAGTGTGGAACGTTATCTGGCGATTAGCACAAGGAACGTCCAGAAACGCGTTCTGGTCACGTTGGTTCGCAATAGGCGTTCTGTCTTCAGCTTTATCGTTGTTTTATCGTTGCTCTTCAAAGCGACAATGTACTTCGAAACGGCCGTCCTTCATCTTGAGCATTGCCCAGTCATGGAAAGGTAATGATCAATGACCTCATCGAACACCTCAAATAACTAACTTCTGAGCCTTAAACAATGCCATCAAGACAACCGTGACTAAGAGCTCTATGTATTCACTGGTGGTCTGTGTTCATTGCTTTCATTTTTGGTATTGCTCATTAGTGCTATTTGTGGAAAGAATTGTCAAATAAAGCCACTGAATAGTTTTCATTTGCAGAATATTAGTAATACGAGTTTCTTATGGTAAGACGAGCGATATGGTTCGTTTTTGGATGCGGAAACTGTTTACGATCATTCTGCCGTTCATATTGCTTGCCTTCTGTAACTGGCGAATTGTTGCGCAATTGCGCCAGCGACGATCCGCTTGGAAGGAGTCAATTAGACGAGAGATCATGCGTAAGAATGGTATGACAACGAGTCCACCGCCAAAGTGAGGGCCAAACGCATATTACCGGATTTCAACGATAGCGTTTCATTAGGAATCATTACAACGTAACTGTATCGGTCGATTGTAAACCAACAGTCCAACAATGATAAATCTTTATCACTACTGAACTGTTGGGATTACAAATGTAAACTTTTCCCAAGTAACAGTTACATTCAAAGAGGAATTGTCGTATTTTTACCATTCAAGAGGCACCACTGATCTTGAACGCTTGCTCATCGCCGTTAATCCGCAAAAGTTTCTCAAAAGATTCTGTGCAGGAAGCAATTCCTGAAAAGTCTCACTTTCCATGGATTTGCACTTTATGGAATCAATTCAATGCGGATCCTTTTATGGAAATTTCCTTCTTTTTTCGTCGAGCAGTCGCCTAGGTTACAGTAAATCTACTGCTTGCAATGTTCAGTGCGGAATGGAAACGTTACGCCGAAAAGAAAGGTGTTCGTATTGCGACTAGAACGTTGGTGATGGTTGTTGGTTGCTACTTGTTGTCAAATTCTGTTACGACAATTATTAATGTTTGGGAATTTGTCGATGGTGAAACATTCAAATACAAAAATTTCTACGCATATTTGTACGCATCTGATATTGCTGCATTGGTAAGTTGTATTTGCTGTAGCACTCCGAGATTATCCGCATGATGTGGCTCATCATCCGTCATCATTTGCAAATGGTCTAGTGATCGAAAAAATTCTCTGCAATCTTCAGATCGCAGCAATAAGCCACCAGAATGCCTTTAGCTTCATAAATGGCTTTAGCTAGTCTGACAGAGATATGAAAGCGTATTCATCATATGTTTATGCGAATAGCAACTATCTGCGAGAATTTACGAGTGAAGTTCACTACAAGCCAACGATTAATCGGTTTCGATGTCCTCCTTTTCCACTAAAACAATGCGTTCTGAAATGAGAGTTGCTTGCGATTTTTAAGTTTATGTAAACAGTTGTGGTGCTCAATGCTTAAAAGTACAGCAAACGATCAACGCTAAACGCAGTTGGTCAAATGCAATAAATGCGAAATCACTAAATATCAATACTTTTAACGGTATCAGTTTAAACCCATTTCCATATATCATTCGAACTATTGAGGCACAAATGCAACGAAGCCTTATAGGATGCGAATGATCGTCAGAAAGCAGAACTGAATCGCGTACATGTTCTCGTCATTAGGGCATGACTGAAGATTACATTTAGAGCAATTTCCGATGAATTAATAAATCGTTTACGAATTATTTGTGTGATCAAACCTGAGGCTGCAAATTAGACGCTCCAGTAAGAGGGAGCATGAAAGCAGTTTGATCCTACCGTCAAGAAAGTTTATAGGTTTAATGGAATTCTTCATTAGTTATGATATATGCATTCAGACGAAAATGTCTGTTTTGGGTTACTTCATAAAGTTGCCCATTTCTATGAAGACTGTTTCAGATTTCATAACGCATCGGAAAACATTCATCGTTAAATGTTCACGAACAATATATTTTCATGAAATGTTCATGCAAATGCCTTGCAAGAAACGATCTGTATTTTGAAGGCATTTCTGTGCGCCGTCTGTGAATGTGAATATCAGATTGTAGTTGACAGTTGTTGGGTGTGCGTTACGATTGCCGATATATGCGATTAATGATCATCGAATTCGCAAAGCGATCTTCCGTGCCTTCTTGAGATGTCGCTACAGGCGTGTGGAACGTCTGAGGGACGAAGTGACTGCGGATAATCTCGAAAAATGGTCGGTGATAATCGTTTCGAATAGCTTGAGGAGCAATTTAACGGGTGCAACCGGTGTATTGGCCGCTCAGGTGTGTTCTGGTTGTTCAGCTGATAGACGGATAGTGAAAGCTTAGGCTTCCTTACCAGTACGGAAACGTTAAAAAAAGGAAGGAAGCGAAGATTTTGCAATTCGTAATCGTTCTTGTTAATATTACGAAGTCATGATATAGTAACTCTCATTTATCGTACACCGCGACGGAAACTTAGCCATTTTGGGAGCGAACTCATAAATCCTTTTTGAAATATTCTCATGGAATCCGTAAACATTGTGCTAGTTGCAATACAGTCTACATGA